TGGTATTAAAAAATATCAGAAAAGTAATTTAATTATATTTTCATTTTGCTATTGTTCATGTCGGCTTAAACCAACCAGCAAGTTAATAAGTAAGTAAGGATAAGATATATGGATGAACAACTTCTTACAATTTTCATCCATATATCTTATCCTAACTTAGTACTCAAACTTTTTAAATGCCTCTCAAAGAAGTTAAACAAGTTAATCACCTTGTATAGCAATACTCAGTAAACCATTAGCAACAAACAGTCTGGCCTAGGTCTAGTAGATGTACAGCTGAGGATGAGTATTTCATTTACACATATACTATGAAGGATATATTGCTGAGTTTCCCCAAACAAAAGCCCTGACCTTTATTAGATTGTTTTCTTTTTGAATTTTTGGGGCTGGCTCTTATTTCTCACAAATCTGGTAGTTGATGTAGCAGCTTAGTTCTGTCAACATTTTGGTATTCAAATATAATGGGAAGAAATCATTAGCTGAGGTTAACACATTCCCTCCTCCGTTCATCATTTTGTATCAGTTTTCTTGGACCTGAATGTGTGTGATTGGCCATCTTCCTGAGGCAAGGGAGTTAACTGACTATAAAAGTCCTGTTTCCACCCTTGCCAAACTTTGCTCAAATTATGGAGTTATATTTTGGTTAGACTAACAAGTCTATGCATAGTCCAATCAAAATCGCCAAACGAAATCAACATCCAGTTCTAAAAGATTTCGGTCTATGGCAGGATTTCGGTCTATGTGCTGTCAACCTAGCGTCAACAGATATTTTCCAAATCTTTTCATGTTCTTAATCAAGGTGCTCGCATGATTTGATGCACATCACATGATTTGATGCACATCGCGAAGTAAGGCCGCTTTTATTACAATATAGACCTTGATTATTGACCAGATCATCTTCACTGGTAGCTGCTATTTTGTTTGAAGCAAATGCAAGTGATATGAGAGGTGAAATCTAATTGGTCCATGGAAGGGACATAACTCGTAATAGCCACTGTTGGGCGCTACGATCAAGCCCAAAAATTCCAGCCTTGTTCGACGAGGGTAGAAACTGCACTTTTACAGTCGGTTAACTCCCTTGCCTCAGGAAGATGGAGATTGGCTGGTTGGAGATGTTGTCACACAAATAGTATCCCATAATGCCATGTAATGGGAGCATGTTCAGCTTCATGTAAAGTTAATAAAAGTAAGTACACTGAAGTACCCCAGTCACTGAAGATCCGGGTTAAAATTGGTCTTCAGCAACCCATGCTTGTCATAAGAGGTGACGATGTTTGTCGTAAGAGGCAACGGGATCGGGTGGTCAGGCTCGCCGATTTGTTTAATGCATGTCGTCAGTTCCCAATTGTGTAAATCGACACACTCAGCAATATTCCAGCTATATGACAGTGGTCTGTAAATAGTCAAGTGTGGACCGGACATCCCAGTGATCGACATCGTGAGCATCGATCCACACAATTTGAATATGATGACATGCAATCAAAGAAGTCACTGACACTAACCACTCAATCCATTTGTCACCTCTTATGAAAAGCATGGGTTAGTGACACCTATATTTTTTACCAGCATCTCCATGGGCAATGAACGGCTGAGGGGATATGGAGACCTTTTTAGGGAGGAAGGCTCTTACCTTAATTTCTTGCTCCCAAATCTGTCGCTTGATAGAGGCTGACTGTACATATTGAAAATGAGGTTTTTAGTTTCTCTGGAGAATTTAGTGCCTGTTTTACTTATATACAGAGCTATTTTTGAACAACTGTTTCTTATACTTAACTATGTATGGCCATACAAGCTATATGACTGAGGAATTATAGATTTGGTTTAGTGTAAATGATTGTTTGCTCAGATGTTTTGTATGAAGCACTCCGTATCAGACACAGTGTATGATGTATGCAATGAAGTGATAATAAATGATTCAATGAGCAGTGTGTTCTTCTGACAGTTTGTCAGTTTGTTGTTTAACGGTGCAGTTGGCAAAATTCCAGATATGACGGCGTTGTGTAAATAATAAAATCTGGTCCACACAATCCAGTAATTGACATGAACATCGATCTGCGCATTTGGGAAACGATGACACATCATCCCATATTGGTAATGTACCATTAAAATCACTCACAGGGTTACTTTGTTTTGATTCATTGGTATCTCTTACCTTTTAGATATGTTTATAAAATCACAAACAGAACCTATATTTATGTTATATATATGTGAAAATATTCATTAAAACAAGAAGACAAAGTCATTGATATCACCCCCAATGGCAAATACTTGTCATGGATAAATATATGAAACTTGTTGCCATAGAAACTTGAAAAAGAATTGCTAAACCATCAAAAGACACTAGTTCACCACTAGACCTATCTATGTGCCAAGTTTGTGGAAGAAATATTAAACATTTTTCAAGATCTGCTCCGTAAACAAGCACTGCCCCCATTTAAGTTGTTGCTATGAAAACTCAAAAAGTTAATTTATAAAAATTTCAAACTATCAAAAGCACCAGTTCACCACTGGACCGATCTGTTGCCAAGTTTGCTGAAGAGATATTCTACGGTCTGGTAGATCTGCTCTAGAAACGACATCTTGCACGGGCGCATGGACTGATGTCGTCCATGGTGTCCAGTACAACGTGTTGCTGGGAATAACCATAAAGCTTGGGCAAGGGACATGATGCTCAACCCTGGGACAATCAAATGTTCATGATAAAATTACACCAAATGATTCCTTCCGTTCTTTAAGTGCTCTTAGTGCCTCTGTGGTGTAGTGGATAGAGCATCTTCCCAGAGACTGCTCCCGTGGTGTAGTGGATAGAGCATCTTCTCAGAGACTGCCTCCGTGGTGTAGTGGATAGAGCATCTTCCCAGAGACTGCCTCTGTGGTGTAGTGGATGGTGCATCTTCCAAGAGACTGCCTCCGTGGTGTAGTGGATAGAGTATCTTCCCAGAGACTGTGTCCGTGGTGTAGTGGATAGAGCATCTTCCCAGAGACTGCCTCTGTGGTGTAGTGGATGGTGCATCTTCCAAGAGACTGTCTCCGTTGTGTAGTGGATAGAGCATCTTCCCAGAGACTGCCTCCGTGGTGTAGTGGATAGAGCATCTTCCCAGAGACTGCCTCTGTGGTGTAGTGGATGGTGCATCTTCCAAGAGACTGCCTCCGTGGTGTAGTGGATAGAGCATCTTCCCAGAGACTGCCTCCGTGGTATAGTGGATAGAGCATCTTCCCAGAGACTGTCTCCATGGTGTAGTGGATAGAGCATCTTCCCAGAGACTGTCTCCGTGGTGTAGTGGATGGTGCATCTTCCAAGAGACTGTCTCTGTGGTGTAGTGGATGGAACATCTTCCCAGAGACTGTCTCCGTGGTGTAGTGGATAGAGCATCTTCCCAGAGACTGTCTCCGTGGTTTAGTGGATAGAGCATCTTCCCAGAGACTGCCTCCGTGGTGTAGTGGATGGAGCATCTTCCTAGAGACTGCCTCAGTGGTGTAGTGGATGGAGCATCTTCCCAGAGACTGCCTCCGTGGTGTAGTGGATGGAGCATCTTCCCAGAGACTGCCTCAGTGGTGTAGTGGATAGAGCATCTTCCAAGAGACTGTCTCTGTGGTGTAGTGGATAGAGCATCTTCTCAGAGACTGCCTCCGTGGTGTAGTGGATGGAGCATCTTCCCAGAGACTGCCTCAGTGGTGTAGTGGATGGAGCATCTTCCTAGAGACTGCCTCCGTGGTGTAGTGGATAGAGCATCTTCCCAGAGACTGCCTCCGTGGTGTAGTGGATAGAGCATCTTCCCAGAGACTGCCTCCATGGTGTAGTGGATAGAGCATCTTCCCAGAGTCTGCCCCCATGGTGTAGTGGATAGAGCATCTTCCCAGAGACTGCCTCCGTGGTGTAGTGGATGGAGCATCTTCCCAGAGACTGCCTCCGTGGTGTAGTGGATGGAGCATCTTCTCAGAGACTGCCTCCGTGGTGTAGTGGATGGAGCATCTTCCTAGAGACTGCCTCAGTGGTGTAGTGGATAGAGCATCTTCCCAGAGACTGCCTCCGTGGTGTAGTGGATAGAGCATCTTCCCAGAGACTGCCTCCGTGGTGTAGTGGATAGAGCATCTTCCCAGAGACTGCCTCCATGGTGTAGTGGATAGAGCATCTTCCCAGAGACTGCCTCCATGGTGTAGTGGATAGAGCATCTTCCCAGAGTCTGCCCCCATAGTGTAGTGGATAGAGCATCTTCCCAGAGACTGCCTCCATGGTGTAGTGGATAGAGCGTCTTCCCAGAGACTGCCTCCATGGTGTAGTGGATAGAGCATCTTCCCAGAGACTGCCTCAGTGGTGTAGTGGATAGGGCATCTTCCCAGAGACTGCCTCCATGGTGTAGTGGATAGAGCATCTTCCCAGAGACTGCCTCCATGGTGTAGTGGATAGAGCATCTTCCCAGAGACTGCCTCAGTGGTGTAGTGGATAGAGCATCTTCCCAGAGACTGCCTCTGTGGTGTAGTGGATAGAGCATCTTCCCAGAGACTGCCTCTGTGGTGTGATGGATAGAGCATCTTCCCAGAGACTGCCTCAGTGGTGTAGTGGATAGAGCATCTTCCTAGAGACTGCCTCCGTGGTGTAGTGGATAGAGCATCTTCCCAGAGACTGCCCCCATGGTGTAGTGGATAGAGCATCTTCCTAGAGACTGCCTCCATGGTGTAGTGGATGGAGCATCTTCCCAGAGACTGCCTCCGTGGTGTAGTTGATAGAGCATCTTCCCAGAGACTGCCTCCGTGGTGTAGTGGATAGAGCATCTTCCCAGAGACCAGAAGGTTGGCACATTGATTCCCGTCATAACAAAGTACATGAAAAGATGGTACCTCTTGTTACCCTGCCTGGCACTCGGCACTAAGGGGATAAAACAAGGACTGGCTTTGTTGTCAGCATACTGTGTCTGAATTGGCTATGTATAATGTGGCAAGGTATCTCATTGGCTATAGCACCATAAAAGCTCATGCATGCACACACACATACATGTTGCTATATGAACATCAAAACATCTTTATTCAATATTTTCAGTTGTCCTCCACATGAATCAAACATGGAGATATTATCTGCTTGTTTATATAAATATCATGTATAGAATAAGTTCAGATTCATGTTGTTTTTAAGATATATATAATGGATAGAAATGATCCCGTCTCCAAGGTAACAAGTAAAGAGCAGTCGTCATAGTAACTGACAACACTGAGTCAATATGAGAAAAGTTCCTGGTCTACACAATTTCCCCAGCAACATCAATCAGTCTTTTAACCTTTGACACACTTGTGACCTTGACACTGAACTCTGGAGGTGAGAGTGAGGCTCCCATGGACACGCCACCTTTCTGGAAGGTCATGGCGGACGACTCGGCAGCTCGAGCTGAGCAGTGGAACTCCTTCACCCCCGTTGACTGCAGTATTCGATCCAGGTTCCGCTCGTGGATCCCCCCTCCTGGAAAACGCAAGGGTCACTTTCACATTCTATCAATATATCAAGCAATGACAGATTTTTTAAACAAAAACCTTTCTCCATTTTCAGTGTTCCCGGGGCTTTTGAAACTGTCAGTCCTGATGGACTGGCAACACTAAAAATGACTAGTCCCCCCTCATTTTTGTCAGTCCCAACTTTCCACAATAAATAAGCATATGAAAATTACCTGGCTTTAATTCTTTTGACATCATGTTCGATTGCACAGATGTCATCTCTGAAGTAACCAAAATAGATCTACTTGTCATTCACACAAAGTTCAGTCATAATTTACTCTTTTTCATATATTTCTGGATGATGTCGCTACAAATAACCTCAAACCAACGTGAATGGACAACGGGAAACCCTGATGGTAACAGACAAGCTGACTTCAATAAAAAAAATATACTTATTTGAATATCGCCAGTGGTCTGTTCAATAACAAAAAATTATATGGTACTTTATTTGCCGGTCCACAGGGACTGGTAGTCAAATGTATTACCGGTCCAAGCCTAATTTTACTGGAAAAAAATATATGGTAATTACCAGTAAACGGGAACACTGATTTTGGAGATTCAGTTTGAGGGGAGATTTATTTTGACTAGGTTTTCACATGAGCTAGCCCTATATTGTGGAAACGTAGAATTGACAAATAAGTCGGGCCATGGTGCTGTAGCTCACCTGAACATGCAGTCAGTGCTGTCAACATTGCTTCTAAAATATTTTCTGCATAAATTCTAATAACAAATGTATTAAGAAATATGAAATAAATGACTTAATTTCCACAATGTTTCTAAATCTGCAAGAATGAATACTATTGTAGAACATTGTTATAATACACACAATTAATTCACCCAAATATTCATGTCATACAATTTTCCAATCTTTGAATTAATAACAATGATAATAATGATGTGGAAATGTCAGTGTTCGGGGAAACTTACCTGGCATAACTATTATTCGATCTGATGCCTGAAAAAATATAATCAGATAATAGTTTTGTTTATTATACATATGATATTAACAGTCAAAGTAGTGCCATGACGTGTGTGTGTGTGAAATGTGCAAGTTTTCTCAGAGCAACAATAGCCCACTTCCAGACATTGCTGTCCTGGCTCATGACTGAAGTTCATAAATGAGTAGGAATATCTGCGATGAATAACTAGAGGGAGTTTGGCTTCACGCCACTTTGAACAGTATTTCAGTCACATGATGGCGTGTAAGAAGGAAAAGTCTGCTTGGTAGCAACAAATTCTTGAAGGCCGGACCACTCAGAGAAATTCCATCAAAACCATGCACGCTGAGATTCGTGATATGTATATGTGGATGAGTGAGTTGGGTTTAACACTTTTTTAAACAGTTTTTCAGTTGTAACACGCTGTGTCAGCTTAATGTGGGAGGAAAACCCCAAGTGATGCAGGTCTCAGACGTTTACCACTTCGGTGAAAACCACGAGCACGGGTATAGTGCTGACAAACGTAGAAACATAATCGGGGAGAACCGGGATTCTAACCCACGATAGTTTTTCAAGCGTGACAAAGGGATGCAACTCTGCACAGCAAATTTCTGTAACTTAAACTCTGGGTCACCATCCCCTCGAATAACGAAATCAATCTTAGTCACTTTAGAATCATCCACAGGACCAGAGTATCCTCCCTATCAGAGGAAGAAGATTTGCTCACACAAGTTTGATAACAGTACCTAGGAGAAACTTATAAGTAATTTTGATGATACAGCTTTAAAGACTGGTCACTTTAAAACTGTTCACATCATAGCACTTGTACCTGGGCCCTTTGAGCAAGTTGAAGTAATTTTTGGCGCACAGGTCACAAGTTAAGCAATGTCGGTCGCGGAGAGTCCTTGGATGGGTGACCACGTTTCAGCAACTCGGCTCCTGATAGTTTTTAGGGCTTCGAAATATGCCTCTGTTCACTCATCAGTGAATGGGTACCCGGTAGGATGAGATGGCAATGTGGTTGTTAACCTTCCAGCGGCTATTACGCAGCTTGGGTTGAATACTCCCCAGGGAGCTGAGAATGATTCTTGAGCATGTTGAGTGCACACTGATCCAAGGGCAATAATAGCGCTTTGAGCATGCCCCTGAGTGGTGTGGAAATATGTGCACTATAAATGGCCTATTATTACTATTATTATTACTGTGATTGTTGCACGTCTATGTTAAGGTATGGGAGTTACCGTTAAGATCGCTTTGTACAACGGAACCCTGACCTGATCAATTTAGACAAAAACAACCTTGAAACAGTTTACAGTGCTCTTCAGTTCAACTCAATCCTAAGACAAAATCTTTGAAAAATTAAATGGGAGATTTCAGCTTCTAAAACACAACAAACAATATGATAAATAAGCATATATGCACAGTCTTTCTGTTCTACAAGTATGTACGAGCTCACATGTATGCAGTGTATTCTCCAATCAGATCTCAATCTCAATACCTTGTCAACCATCTGTCTGATGACTGGGGCGCCGTCTAAAGCACTGGCCTCACCCCCACTCGTGAGGACACGCCCACACCCCAGGGAAATGACCACCTCCAGGGACGACAGGAGGTCGGGGGTCATGTCAATAGCTGAAACAGTCATTATTCTAGATTATCCATTCAGTTGTTCAAACAGCGAAGAGGTGAGGTGAGGTGAGGTGAGGTGAGGTGAGGTGAGGTGAGGTGAGGTGAAACGGAGTTTAACGTCGCATCCAAGATCATTGCACTTATACAGTGACGTGCATGCACATGTGGCTGCTTAGACTAGTCTGACTGATGCCGATTTATAGTGCTAGCTCACTGAGATACCATGCCGCAGTTTAACATGAATACCCCACTCAGACACAGTATACTGACTCCGAGCTGACCAGTCCTTGTTTTAGCCCCTTAATGCCGAGCTCCAGACAGGATAACAACAAGTACCATCTTTTAACATCTTTTGGTATGACGTGGACAGGGATTGAACCCCGGATCTACCACTAGACCTCAGAGGCAGTCTTAAACAGTGAAGAAAATGCTCTCGGTCTTCTGGAGGATGAGACTGGGGATAATACAGACGAACCTGCTGCTGAAGCATTTCTAGATATTAATCAATCTTATGTATGGCGCTTACAAAACGAGAAACATAATCAGAGTGTAAAGGGGACTCGAATCACTGGTTCCTGGAACACCAAGGGAGGCAACTCTTCACGATGCGATCCCACCCCCTGTGGGTGTATGGACAGTCTTTGTGTAGTCAAAATGGAAATAGGATACAACTTAGTGTAAACAAGCCCTTCTGATGGTTAATGAAGGTATACACTGAAAAATCTGAATATTTACCTCTGTGAAATGTGACTGGTAAAGGCCTTATCTGGGCTGAAAATGTAAAACCTTGGTTAGTCAACTCAGTCAATCAAACAAAGAAATAGTTGCAATCGCAAACCAGCATCTTAATTTTACTTTCAAAAATTCATGTGCAGTAAACACCTCTGAAAGGAGGTTTCACCTGGCATTTGATTCATTTTGGGTTGAAAAGAATACTTTAAAGTTAATAAAAAATATCTCAAATATATGTTATCTTATTATATGCCAAATAAGGTAATGCGTGCATGGTAATGATTGAAAAAACTCAACTTGATGATTACCATGGTAATAACTGAACTTTTCTTCACACCATTTTGGGTTTATAACACAAATTCATAAACATATATTTATGACTCATACAGACTTAGAAATATCTAGGCTTTTTCATATTTCAGTTTGCCCTTGATATGTTAGTATGCCAGTGAGAAGAATGCTTCTCAAATAAAAGGATTTATTATTTTCAATATTTTCAATCTTTTTTTCCAGAGGTATATTTATCACTTGCTTCACATAATAACATTAACAATCATCCTAGGTATTCTCAGGAAACAATATGTGATTCAAAGTGTCTTATTTGAACTTATTTTAACACTGTTGTTGTGATTGTAAATGTCCCTTTGGCACTTTAAGACAAGGAATCTGTATTCCCCATCTCAGAACTCACCTATCAGCTCCCTGCATCTTTCTCTGTCTACAGTGCCATCTCTGAAATTAAGTACACACCACATCAGATGGTTGTTTCCTTGCTGTTTTATGCTTCACTCAGCAATATTCCAGCTATGTGACGGCGGTCTGTAAATAATCAAATTTTGTCCATACAATCCAGTGATTGACATCATGAGCATCGATCTATGCAGTTGGGATACGATAACTCGCATGAACCGAGTCAGCGAGCCTGACCACTGGGACCCATCAGTCACATCTTTATTCCGCATGTAAGAGAACGGCTTGGTTCATGGGTCACAGTACATCAATGTCGTAATTACCCTATCAAACTTCAAGTATATGTCAAACACCAATAGGGCGTTCGGGTAGCCTAGTGGTTAATGTGTTCACTCGTCACACCAAAGAACCATGTTCGAATCCGACATGGGTACAATGTGGGAAGCCCATTTCTGGTGTCTCCCGCCGTGATATTGCTGGAATATTGCTAAAGCAGCGTAAAACCCTACTCACTCACTAAAACACCAATAAATGTTTACATCAAATAGTTTGAATAGTCCCTTTAAGTCAGACCTGTGAAGATTCCGGGGTAGAATAGGTCTTCAGCAACCCATACTTGCCGTAAAAGGCCACTATGCTTGTCGTAAAAGGCGACTAATGGGATCAGGTGGTCAGGCTCGCTGACTTGGTTGATACATGTCATCGATCCCAACTGCGTGGATCGATGCACATGATGTCAATCACTGAATTGTCTGGTCCAGACTCGATTATTTTACAGACCGCCGTCATATAGCTGGAATATTGCTGAGAGCGGCATTAAACAACAAACAAACAAAAAAAGGGGGGGGGCAGAGGGGGCAGTTGCCCCCCTTGGATTTTTTATAGAAAACAGTTTTATTTGAATCAAGTTGGGGACAAGTGATACTTGTACAAATATTTGCCCTCCATGTCAAAAAAAGTTAACTACGGCCTTGGATGGGCAAGCATATCTTCAAACAGGACACAAACTGATAAATGCGATTGCATAAAATTATTAGAACAAGCCTAGATTATTCATGCAAATTGGTTGTTTGCAAGACCACATGTTTGCTAGGCAACATGGAGGAATTTTACATAGGGCATACCTGAGTTTGCTTTACGAAACAGATTTAAGATACATATTGTTTTGTATCTGTTTGGACTTAGGCATTGATCATAATTTGACTGTTCTAACCTATCATTCAATTATTGATTTGGCTGGGTCTACGTTAAAGCAATGAGTTATGCTGGTCGTAGCGCTTCGATCACCTTGTGAAACGTGGCCGTGGCTCTTTGGATGGCTACTTACTTGTTCAGCAATCCTATCACAAACCCATCAGCTCCAACTTGCTTCAACTCCTCGATGTCCTGCTTCATGACCTCCATCTCAAGGTCACTGTACAGGAAGTCACCTCCGCGAGGTCTTATCATCACAAACACGGGTATTTGGACGTTCTTCTTGATCACTTTCAGCATACCTGCAAATGTAAATCGGAAGATTTGGATCAAATCTGTAGTGACATTTTATAATCAATACAACCAACTGCGCAGTCTCTATAGACGCTGAATGCATCCCCTAACGTCCATCTACCTGTAAAATGGGTACTTTAAAAAGTGTCTGAATGAGTTTGGTTTAATGCCACATTGAACAGTATTTTGTTTGGTCTTTTTGTTCTAAGCATATTGACTTGTGTAAGTCATGACAGTCAGTCCCTCGGGATGCTTTTTTAAAATTATTATTACTGTTGTTGTTTATAATTACAATTGCAATTCTAATTATTATGATTATTATAATTTATTTATTCATTTTTATTTTTTTCATTTATTTCTGTTAATATTTTTTTATTATGATTATAATTATTAAGTCATTGCACATCATATATTGTTTTAAACATATTTTAGTGACATTAAAAGGTCAAATGGATTTGCCAACCTGTGCCGCCAACTTGGAAGAATATATGGACTTGTCTGATATTATTTTATTCATTGAACAGTATTTGGTTTGTTTTTATGTTTTAAACATATTAAATTGTGGAAGTAATGACAGTATGTTGTTGTTGTTGTTGTTGTTACCTGGGCTGTACACTGTGATCACTGGAACAAAGCTACTATGTGAACTGGGCACTCACCAACAGTGGGTGTGGTCCCTCCTTCCATGAGATTCCCACACAGCTCCACTCTCTTGGCACCTGGCCAAATTTAAATATAGTTAAAACCAATGCAACATGTGAAACACTAAACGTTTTGAATTTATAAAAACACTTTAATACATAATCATGATAACATAACATCATGACATAACTAGCAACGTACAGCAGGCACAGCATTCCTTCATCTTAAAATCTTTGAGATTATATAGGTAAAATTTTTAAAGCTTTTAATAGTGAGTGAGAGAGTATAGTGTTTTAGCTTTTAGCAATAATCCAGTGATATCACAAGGGTGGACACCAGAAATGGGCCTTACACATTGTACCCATCTGGGGAATGGAACCCAGACCACTACGCTACCCCACCACCCTTTCATAATGAACATATCTGGGAAGGAACACTAATTGTTTTTGGAAATCATTGAAGATTGATGAGAAGGGCCAACTGACCAAGCAATCAAACCGAAACATTCCACAATGTCTTATTCAATAATAGGCACCGATCGATCAAGCACTTCTGCATTTTGTCTTTTCAGGGAGTTTCAGTCATGATAAACATGTACAATGACATGGGGAGGGTCATTATTATCAGTGCATTAGTGCCTCTGACCCTCCACCCCACTATAATAAATGAACTGTCCCTGGCAACTTTGAGAAAAGAAAGTGTGAGGCCAGTGTCCTCTTTGAAAAATAAGTGCTGAATTATACTGTATATTTTGTTTTGTAAGGTGTGATACCACGGACTTGTATAACTTGTTATATAGGTCCGTGGTGATACTAAACTTTACATTTAACAGCAAAGTGATGCTAACTGATTAATTTTGATGATCAGTCGTTTGGGATGATCCAACCATCAATCATCAGTTTACCACCAATTCTCATTAGTAATAAGCGGATAGAGTGTCAATAAGCGTATAGAGTGTCAGTCATTGAAAAATGAATAGATTTCTTAAATCGATGTCTATTAATTTCAGGTCAGATGTATTTAGGTCCTAATATGCATGGCAAAGTTAGCACACCTCCTTTTTCAGCATTGATGGCCGAGGCCGCTGAATCTATACACACTTCCATCATTCACAGTTGTAAACACTTCCACGTGATTCTCCTGCCGGAAGTAGGGAATCCCGCCTCGTTTTGATAACACATACGGTCTCTTTGGGAACCCCCCTAGTCGTGCGGTACACGATATGTAACAGAGGACTCGCGTTGAGATTGCACATGTTCGTAGGTCCCGACCTTCACTGCTACACTTCCTTGAAACATTTCATTGGGGTTTCTGAATGAAAGAAGATGTTTTCTGGATTCTGCTTAATGCGATCAGGGTTGACAGCTTCAACTGTGAGCCTTGCCAGTCGTGGATTTCGTCACGTACTGCAGAATCAGGTGAACATTTTGACATTGAATATTAATTTTATATTCCTTACTGAGCCATTCATTCTGACACAAGTTATATACACTGTACAGATTAAAATGTTTAGATGTTTTATTTTATACAGATACTCGTTGTTGGCTTATATACCCACACATTCACAGGTATTATGTAAGCTTTACGTAACCAAAATTTCTGTAGATCTGTATCATAATTTTTATTCGACTTGCCTCTTGTAAACTTTTCCAACAAGATGAAAATATGCGTGATTTTAAAAAATGCAGTATTGTGATATGTAGATCTATTAATTGGTATTACATATCGGTAATAATGAGCGTCTATATTAATTAATCAATAGATGCATAATGATCTTAAAATGAACTTACTAGGGCTGGGACAGGTGCTCGGGTCAGGTGGGTTCTGAGTAGGACCCGGGTACCCACAGGACTACCCGGACTCGTGGCTAGTCATGTGATGATATTGTTTAATGGCAAAATAGTTCAAATGTTCAAATTTCTTTCGGACTATGCACACATTCCTACTGACTTTATATGTTTGCATAAAGGTAAAACTTCAGTCAATTTCAGTGTATGCATGACCAGGTCGGTTTATACGTGTATCTAAATACATTTTGACAGGAGTACAGTAAAACATTTCCCAATCAGACATTTTGTACCTATCTCTTGAGACCTACAGCGGGTACCCAGGTAGGGTCAGGTAATAGAGGGGTGGGTACCCTGGTAGTAAATCTGGACTTGTCCAAGCCCTAGAACCAACACTAACGTGTAACACAAATTGGTTGATACCAATGTAGGTGGTACTCATGGGGCGTGGAGAACGTCATGCAAAAATGGCGACATACAGCCTGGTGAATCATGCCACCCCACAGGGGAAGGTTAATATCAATCAAGTTGTAATATTCTTCTTTTTTTCATGTTAATGAGCATGATGAAAATAAACATGATAAATAGCTCATGCATGTTTCACTATGAGTGTACAAGTATCACTTTATTTACATCACTTCTTATCTTCTGAATCTTCATACTATTTTTCATTCAAAATATGAAAAGGAAAATGGACAATAGAAAAGAAAAGCAAATACGATCTTTCATCTTTTATGTCAAGAGCAACATGAATGACATGGCGATATACACAAGTGAAGATGTATCGTGCGTGCATACAGTTATAACAATATCTCATCCTGCATGTTAAGGTCCACTGTCCAAGATGTCAGAAGGTGGTCCAAGGGACAAGGCAGTTCAGTGTCATGAAACATCTCAAACAACCTAAACCGGTGAGTTCCCTGCCTCATCTCATCTGAGGAAAATAATATTAGCAGCCGTGTACGTTACTAAGAAAGTGTCATCCCATATATAACATTTATTACATTTGACCACTTTCTAAAATGTCATTGTGTGTGCACAGGTTTCGGCCATGGGAGCCGTGCCAATTTACACTTGTCAGAGGGGTACACAAAGTACACGATCTAGACTACCAGTTGTCGGTCTTTGATTTTTGTGGAAGCCTTGGTGGCTGAGTGGGTTAATTTGCTGACTTTGTGTGCTCTGACAGTGTGGGTTCAAATCCCGGATGGGGCTCCCAGAATCTGTACTTTACTAAGAGAGTGTTATCCTAAATAAAACATTTATTATAGATTTATTACACCTATATCAAGGCAACTAGACAAACCAGTGGTTGATAGCAGAACCAACAATTCATGTTGCTAGGGGTGATGATACACATTCAGTCTGGATGTCTTTCACAAATTATTGAAGTTATACCACTATATTACAGCAATTGATTTACATATTGTCAACTCCACTTTAGCATCAACATGATCAAGCAATGATAAGATTTTAATGGAAGATTATTCACTGTAGACTCATCAATTCCACTGTTTGTTTCAGGTGTCTGGGATTTTGAGATTTCTTCAGCCAGTCCGGAAGACCACGTCTTCTGCTGCAGGAAAGGTTGTGCCAGAGTTACCTCCCCATGCCGAGAAGATTGTGGGAGGCTGGTTGATCGGATGTGCGGGGATGGTGGTGGGAGCAGTCATCTTGGGAGGCGTCACCAGGTAACCCTGAAAACTACTCTAAAAAGTAGATATTCGCTCATTGTGTTACATTTTATATTTTTAAAGACTTCTAACTGTGGTAAATACATAGTGTGTGAGTGAGTATGGCTTTATGCCGCTTTTATCAATATTCCAATTAAATCATGGTGCTGGACACCAGAAATTTGCTCCCAACATTGTACCCATGTGGGGAATCGAACCTTCAGCATGACGGGCCAACGCTTTAACCACTAGGCTACCCTGCCACCCCAAATAATCCATAAAAGATCAACTAGAGATTGTTAACTCTCTGTCTGTCATAAGTTCAGAACTCCAACTGTGAGAACCTTATTATATCCTGAAATGTTATTCCAAGCCCTGCAAGGATCATCGCCCTCTCCTGTCTACAGTCAGTGTTAAAAGAATGGATGTTCTAGTGTCACATATCTGCTTTTATTACCTACAAGGGCAAACATATCAGGGTTCATAAAAATCATATGTGCCTAGGGTCATATCACATCACGAGACAACAGTGTATTGTTTCCGTCGTCCGGACAGCATTGTTGACGTCATTCGAGTCTTATTGTGACCTCGGAATGACGTCACACTAGAAACAATGTTACAGCTGAAGATTGTTGACGTCATTCAACAAATTGTCGTTCCGCTGCTTATGTGACTTGCTGTCCTTATAGGTACATACTAACAACTCTGTATGTAGACATCTTCATCGGTAATAAATAAAACATTATATCCTTTCATTTCATACTATGTGTACGACACTTGTGCCTAAATTCTGGTATTTCCCTCGCTCTTGCTAGGGAAATACCAGAATTTAGACACTCGTGTTGTAAACATAGTATGACATGAACACAAATATAATATCCTCTCTCTATTATGTTTGTGTTTGTTGTTTAACGCCACACTCAGCAATACTCCAGCTACGTTACAGCGGTCTGTAAATAATCGAGTCAGGACCAGACAATCCATTGATTGACATTATGAGTATCGATCACACAATTGGAATACAATGACATGTAGCAAGCCTGACCACCCGATCCTGTTAGTCACCTCTTACGACAAGCATAGTTGCCTTTGATGGCAAGCATGGGTTGCTGAAGCGCTATTCTACCCAGGATCTTCACGGGTCCAATCTATTATGATATGCTGTACATGATTGCTGTTTTTCAGATTGACAGAGTCGGGTCTGTCGATGGTGGACTGGCGACTCCTCAAGGACATGAAGCCACCAAGGTCACAGCAGGAATGGCAGGAGGAGTTTGAGCGGTACAAGCAGTTCCCGGAGTATAAATAGTAGGTTACTATGGTTACACAGACACACATTTGTCTTCCTTCCAATATCACATAATCAGTGGATAATGTGTAGGTTATGCACTGGGATCTGTAGCTGCTGTAACCTACCTTTCTGCTGCTCCGGGTAAACAATTTATATACTGACTTGTTGCTACACAGAGGTACAGACTTCCCTTAGCGTTATCCTAATAGAGTTGACCGCCTCCGTGGTCTAGTGGTAGAGCGTCCGCCCGGAGAGGGGAAGATCTGAAGTTCGATCCTCTGCCACGTCATACCATCAGACGTTAAAAGATGGTACTTGTTGTTACCCTGTCTGGCGCTCGGCATTAAGGGGCTAAACAAGGACTGGTCGGCTCGGAGTCAGTCGGTGTCTGAGTGGGGTATTCATGTTAAAATGCGGCATGGTATCTCAGTGAGCTAGCACTATAAATCGGCATCAGTCCGGAACAGTACAAGCAGCCACACACACACACACACGTGCAGGCACGTCGCTATATAAGTGCAATAATCTTGGACGCAACGTTAAACCCCATTTCACCTCACCTCCTAATAGAGTCCCGATGCAAATCTGCATCACACTTTATATGCTTCAGCCAAGTGCTTGCATCATGATGTAACGCCAAATGCAGCTTAATGCACTTCCTAAGACACTTGGCTTCAAGTATGAGTACTTGTTTTTGGGGCCATGCAAATATATATTTACTAATCGACTTGGAAAGTGGAGATTCTTTAGCAATGATACCTAAAAAATCCATACCTAAAAAATCCATACGATGATTCAAACCCATAGGTACATGGAAAATTGCATTTAAATAGAGTCAAACACTGTTGTGTCAAACTTGACGGGACCTACGTAAATACTTTGAGTTATCCAAGGTTTGACACAACCAAAAATGATGAATAAGGAAGGAATACGTAGGAAACAATCTTTTACATCGAGATAACCGTATGTTCGATACATCAAAGTTCGACGCATGGGTGTTTGACTGTAGACAGATTTGAATGCAACTGTTTCGTTACTAGGGCAGGGTCGATACACCAACTGTGCGATCCGATCCCTGTCACGATACTTTGCTCATGATCAGATACGTATCACGATATTTGCATGTGCACTTGTCCATGATGCGCAAGGCATCTCTTTCATAGAGAGGATGGCCAAATACCCTGCGCACTCATGATTTACTGTTGGCAGTGTCAAGTATGGTGCAATGGATGCAAATATTTACGTTTTCATTAATAATTTTCACTACTAATTAGTGTTTGATGTAACAGTTACTACAGCAAACCTTGAAGGAAAGGATTGATACATTTTACTAAGTGAGCGACTGTGATTGATACTTCTATCAAGAAGCAAAAAATTAGGATCCACCAATCCATTGGTGTATTGTCTCACTACTCATAGTTTCAGTCGATTCTCTAAACTAGAATTATTTTTCTAAAGCATTATGTCTCTGTTTTGTGATATGTCAATGATGGCTGGTTGAAAGCTGTTGGTTGTAGCTGTAGTTTATTATGTCAGTGTCAGCAGCCAGAAAGAGGTGACGCTCAGTGACTTCAAGTTCATCTACTACATGGAGTATGCCCACCGGATGTGGGGGCGTGGCGTGGGGCTGGTGTTTGCACTTCCGGCTCTCTACTTCCTCAAGAAGGGCTGGATCACTAAAGCCATGAGGCCAAGGCTCGCCATCTACGCATCATTCATTGGTTTTCAAGTAAGTGAGAACAAACCACTTCTCTCTTTTGCCATTGTGTAGTTTCAAAGTGAAATGTCCAGTAAGGCCATGTTAAGAATCAAGGGAGGTAATCTTTAGTATGGTTTTTATGGAGAATATTATCTCCCTTTGGTCACATTTGCTTTTGTAGAGCATGGACATGCTCATCTTCCCGAGGCAAGGGGGTTGACTGATCTTTAAAGTCCAGTTTCCACCCTTGCCAAACTAGGCTGGTATTACGGGGTTACATTTTGGTTGGACTAACAAGCCATGCACAGTCCATTCAAGATCTTGTAATGAAATCAACGTCCGGTTGTGCCATGCAGATTTCATTCAATTGCAGGATTTTCAAAGCATGTGTACTGTCAACTTAGCGTCAACAGATAATTTCCCTAATCTTTTCATGTTTTTAATCAAGGTGCTCACATGATTTGATGTCTTTCTGAAAGTAAGACCCTTTTTATTACAATATAGATCATTGATAGATCTTGATTATTGATAGTCTTCATTGGGCGCCGCCATTTTGGTTGAAGCAAATGCAAGTGATAAGAGAGATGGAATCTGATTTGTCAATAGGAGGGACATTGGAGGGACATAACTTGTAATAGCAACTTGTGGCACTACGATCAAGCCCAGAAATTCCGGCCTAGTTCGGTAATGGTGGGAACCGGACTTTTACAGTTTTAACTCCCCCCTCCTCGGGAAGATGGACCATGGTGAATGTTCTAACATGTTGATAAGTAACAAGTTCTCAGACTTATGTTTCAAAACACAGCAAAACAAAACAATATTGCAGAGAAATGTTCAGTGTTGTGTACATTCTAAATCTTCCATATCTATGAAAAATGTCACTGAAAGTTCAGTATCGACAGTGGTATCATGATAAATTTATGACCAATCCTTTCCTTTCGTAACCAATGATATGAGCATGCACACAGTTGTTTTTTCCACAGCTGGCATGCTGGAATGTCGGCACGAACTGGATTTACTGCTGGCGCCTACTTGATCAAAATGTTGAAAAAGTCTTCAATTTATGACTTCTTGAAGCATCATTAAACACCCAAAGCTTACCTCTAGAGGGAATGATTCGACGTCCAGACTTTTTTTGGGGGGCCCAGTCATCTAAGGCGCCGTGATTCGCTGTGCAGAGTTGCGTCTCCTGTACACGCCAGAAACCTATGATTGTGGGTTCAAATCCCGGCTTGCCCCAATTATGTTTCTATGTTTGTCAGCCCCAGTGCTTGTGGATTTCACCGAAGTGGTAAATGTCTGAGACCTGCATCACTTCGGGCTTTCCTCCCACATTAAGCCGACACGCCGCGATATGACTGGAATACTGTTAAAAGCGGCGTTTAACCCAACTCACTCACTCACTCACTCACTCTTTTAAGTGGACAAAGTAGATACAGTTTATGGATAACAACTTCTCTAATACAGTATTAAGGCTACGGAAGGGGTTCCATAACAGTTGATAAAATTGTATTTATTAATGAAGTTGTTGTCAATGATCAACCTGTGCTTGTTGTAAGAGGCAACTTAATGGATATCAGTTGGTCGTACTTGATGACTTGGTTGATGGTGTCTGTGTACCCGAATGGGATGGATTGTTGCTCATGATATCAATCACTGGGTTGTGTGATTTTCTGTTGTGCGCTGTTACAGTCAGCCTTTACAAATGAAAAACCAGTATCTTTGTTAGCCTTTGATTGTGTTTCCTTCATAGCTTTCATGTGTCGCACAATCCTAGAAATGGATTAAGAATAGTTTAGTTCTGTATTATTTTAAAATTAAAGTAAACATCTGTGAAGAACTGGGTTAGAATTGATCTTCAGCAACCCATGCTTGCTGTAAAAGGCGACTATGCTTGTCGTTAGAGGTGACTAATGGGATCGGGTGGTCAGACTCACTGACTTGGTTGATTCATGTCATCGTATCCCAATTGCGTAGATCGATGCTCATGATGTCAATCGCTGGATTGTCTGGTCTAGACTGGATTATATACAGACTGCTGTCATATAGCTGGAATATTTCTGAGCCTTAGCAACACACACACAGACACATCAGATGTTCAACAAGCCTGACAATTGCAGGGTTTCCTTGGCTGGTACATGGTGAAGAGTGGTCTGGAGGAACAGAAGAATCCTGACGGCGTCCCCCGAGTGTCCCAGTACCGCCTGGCGGCTCACCTGGGCTCCGCCCTCTTCCTCTACACGCTGTTCCTGTACGGAGGCCTGATGCACCTCTCCAAGCCACAGAGGGTAGGAGCAGACTTCATTCTACATGTCATTATCTAGAACTGGTTCACTGGTGATTTGTGCTGCAAGCTTCCAGCTTTTAGCCAACAGACACTGGTAAACAAGTATGGTACAAATCTGTACCTGTGCTTGCCGTAAGAGGCGACTAACGGGATCGGGTGTTTAGACACACTGACTTGCTTGATGCTTGTCATCGTATCTTAATTCCATAGATTGATGCTCATGATGTCAGTCACTTGATTGTCTGGTCCAGACTTCTTGATTATTTACAGACTGCCATCATATTGCTGGAATATTGCTGAGTGCAGCGTTAAATAACAAAACAAACAAACAAACAAATGTAAGTGCCAAGTACTGAGGATCAGGTGGTTACCAATGTGAGACTTAGATGATGGTGTGACATGGTGCCCTGATGTTGTGACATGGTGCCCTGATGTTGTGACATGGTGCCCTGATGGTATGACATGTGCCCTGATGGCATGACATGGTGCCCTGATGGCGTGACATGGTGCCCTGATTGTGTGACATGATGCCCTGATGGTGTGACATGATGCCCTGATGGTATGACATGGTGCCCTGATGGCATGACATGGTGCCCTGATGGTGTGACATGATGCCCTGATGGTGTGACATGATGCCCTGATGGTATGACATGGTGCCCTGATGGTATGACGTATGCCCTGATGGCGTGACATGGTGCCCTGATGGTGTGACATGATGCCCTGATGGTATGACATTGTGCCTTGATGGCATGACATGGTGCCCTGATGGTATGACGTGGTGCCCTGATGGTATTACATGGTGCCCTGATGGCATGACATGGTGACCATATGGTATGACATATGCCCTGATGGCATGACATGGTGCCCTGATTGTGTGACATGGTGCCCTGATGGCGTGACATGGTGCCCTGATGGCATGACATGGTGCCATGATTGTGTGACATAGTGCCCTGATGGTATGACATGGTGCCCTGATTGTGTGACATGGTGCCCTGATTGTGTGACATGGTGCCCTGATTGTGATACATGGTGCCCTGATGGTGTGACATATGCCCTGATGGCGTGACATGGTGCCCTGATGGCGTGACATGGTGCCCTGATGGTCTGAAATGCTGCCCTGATGGTGTGTAATAGTGCCCTGATGATGTGACATGGTGCCCTGATGGTGTGACGTGGTGCCCTGATGGCGTGACATGGTGCCCTGATGGTCTGACATGGTGCCCTGATGGTGTGTAATAGTGCCCTGATGATGTGACGTGGTGCCCTGATGGCGTTACATGGTGCCCTCATCAGCTCAATCAAATATGCTGAATATGAGTGGGGTATTCATGTTAAACTGCAGCATGGTCTCTAAGTGGGCTAGCACTATAAAACCAGCATTAGTCCAGACTAGTACAAGCAGCCACATGCATGCATGCACATACACACACAAACACACCTGCATGCATGCACATACACACACAAACACACCTGCATGCATGCACATACACACACAAACACACCTGCATGCATGCACATACACACACAAACACACCTGCATGCATGCACATACACACACAAACACTCCTGCATGCATGCACATACACACACAAACACACCTACATGCATGCACATACACACACAAACACACCTGCATGCATGCACATACACACACAAATACACCTGCATGCATGCACATACACACACAAACACTCCTGCATGCATGCACATACACACACAAACACACCTGCATGCATGCACATACACACACAAACACACCTGCATGCATGCACATACACACACAAACACACCTGCATGCATGCACATACACACACAAATACACCTGCATGCATGCACATACAGACCTGTCATCCCCTTATCATGACAATGTGGGAGATTTGACTTCAAAATGGGGGAGATTTGCCTCAAAAGGGGGAGATTTTTAAGATAGTGAAGATAAGATAATTTCCAACTTTTATTTTTAATAATGTTACAAAGAAAACCAAATATTTTGAAACAATAAATAATAAATAAGTTTCTTATACGTACAGCTTGCTTAATTTCCGTTTGCATTTTCCTCCTCCAAAAATTAAACCCAGCACAATCTACCCATATAACTTTCGTTCAAAGATCATCTCAGATAAACGCAAACAGATATTGAAATTTCACAATCGGTAGCTTGACCAGTTGACGGCGTGTTCAATCCGACCAGTTGTCAGGCTTCGTTACGATGCAGGTTTTCTGAGTATTTGGCACGATGTTGGTTACAAAATTCGCCAAAGAAATATCAAATGCATTTATCCTGACGCAACATCATCGCCCTTAGTTTCAATAAGATATACTGGGTTTTTTTCTGTCTGCGGTAGTCTGTTGACAGTCCCATTACTTCGCTTCTTAAATTTCCTAGAAATGTTCACGTTATTCCATTCCAAGAAATGTATGCCATATTTGGAAGTACTATTACGTTTTACTACAATTTATGAATGAAATGAGTCTCGTTGTCGTTGTTGACCTTTCTGACCTTGACGTGTATTAATCTCATTGGTTGACTAGTACTGTTGTATGCAAATTAGATTGCAGATCGGGGACGTAAGCAAACTATTAGCCAATCCAATCGTGTAAAATAATCACATGATACATTCTCGCAAAATTTGATAAAGTTCTGTTTTGATATTTTCTGTGCACACAAGTCACGATGTCAGTCAAAAGGAAATTTATAAGTTTCACTTTAAACTTTGACTTTGAAATCCTAGCTGTGAGGAAGCCTGATCGTGTAACTCATTGTTATTTCGACTACCGAATCAACCAATCACGCATAGTGTTGTTTCTGAAGATGGCGCTTGCAGGACATATTTTGTTTTCATTTCCAAGAGTTCAATGACGTAACTTTGAGGTATGTTGATGTTTTAACAAAGTTTCTGACAAATCTGATAACCAATAAAGTCATGTATAACTGGACCGGCCATATGTATCTACATTCTTAAATTGTGGAAGAATAAACACGCTAAGAACATGAAGACAACAGTACATTTCATGAAGTGATGAATACTTGGCTGATTTTTCATTTCAAGTTCAACCCTTCAGGCACCTGTTAGGACTATCCGAGTTTTCTTAACAGTTTACATTATTCAATCGTTCACCATATGAATTTAATTACCATTTGATTACTGGACAAAGGCCCATCTGGGTCCCCCTGCGGGTGGCTGTGATAAGGGTCACTAATCCGGGAGCCTACCGGACAGATCAGGACGCAAACTTCCCGTTCATTGTTTTCACTCACGGGACAATGAGGCGATTTTTTTAAATGATGAAGAATTCTGTTTTGCGGGAGAAATAGTCCATCTTGCGGGAGACTGGGAGATTTCATCAAATTGCGGGAGTCTCCCGCAAAATGTGGGAGGGTTGACAGGTCTGCACATACACACACAAACACACCTACATGCATGCACATACACACACAAACACACCTGCATGCATGCACATACACACACAAACACACCTGCATGCATGCACATACACACACAAACACACCTGCATGCATGCACATACACACACAAACACACCTGCATGCATGCACATACACACACAAACACTCCTGCATGCATGCACATACACACACAAACACACCTGCATGCATGCACATACACACACAAACACACCTGCATGCATGCACATACACACACAAACACACCTGCATGCATGCACATACACACACAAACACACCTACATGCATGCACATACACACACAAACACACCTGCATGCATGCACATCGCTATATGAGAACAATAACATTAAACCCCTTATCACCTAGCCTAACCATGTGTATAAGATATTATAAGTTTACAGTTTATTTCAGTTTGGTTTTGCAAGTTTGGATGTTGCTTAATTCAATGTGTGTTTTGTGTTGCGACGGCAGATGCCCAACACGAAGCAGATGACGCGACTGCGAGTCATGACCCACGGAGTCCTTACCCTGGTCTTCATCACAGCTCTGTCAGGTGGGTGGGGACTGAGGGTCAGAGATATAGAATGGGGGGAGAGATCAGTGGGTGAAGGGTGTAGAGTTAAAGAATGGGGCGGGTGAAGGGTGTCAGAGGTCTGTGAATGGCAGGGCGGGTGAAGTGAGGGTGAGTGGGTGTTAATGTATCATATATAGTTTTCTTCTTGCATATATTTTTTACAGGTTGCTATATGGGGCTTTAGAAATGTTCTCGCACTAAACACAATGCTTAACATTTCCAAAACTATTTTAAATTTCAGGAGCTTTTGTTGCCGGCCTCGACGCGGGTCTGACCTACAACTCCTGGCCCAAGATGGCCGACAAGTGGATCCCAGATGACCTTGTAGCCTTTTCTCCCAAGTGGAAGAACATGTTTGAAAACCCAACCACCGTCCAGTTCAACCATCGACACCTGGTAAAGTTGTTTGTTTCAATGATGGGAAAGATGGTTAAATGGGAAAGATGGCTCACAGTGGATGGAGTCCTTGGTTCTATTCCCACCTGAGTACAATGTGTGAATTCAATCATTGTCTCTCCTGCTGGGACATATTTGGCTGGAATCTTGCTTTCAGTGGAGTCAAACCACTCTATAACCCCAAGTTTATTAAGCTCTCCCTCACCTCCATGCTTGTTGTCCCTGGACAGTGTAAAACAATATTCACTCAAGTGATTATATTCACGGATGAAGAAAGAAAAGGACCCTAGTAATTAGTAGGGCTGGGATGAAACACCAACTGTTCGATCCAATACCTATCACGATACCTTGCTCACGATACGATATGTATCCCGATAACTTGCTCACGATGCAATACGTATCACGATACCTTGCTCACGATGCAATACGTATCACGATACCTTGCTCACGATGCAATATGTATCACGATACCTTGCTCACGATCCAATACGTATCATGATACCTTGCTCATGATGCAATACGTATCATAATACTAGCATGTGCTGTTTTCTGTGGTCCGTAAGCCATCTTTTTCATAGACAGGATATAGAGCTTATCACGCGAGTGTGTTTGGGGATAATAAATATCCTGCATTAGGAATAAACATTGTATTTAGCAAGCATTGTCAGTGACAGTAGCCAACATAGTTCCTACTGAAATCTGTTTCTTATACAGTGGCGAAGCATCATATGCACAAAACAAAAATTGTTTTTACTTGCCTTTCACGGCATTCCATCGGTCTATCCGCTAGAGTAACTGCCCTTTGTCAAAGGGAAGCTACTCTAACCCTAGTCTATGAGACGTCACGGTCAAGGTCAGACGTTGTTGACACTCTGTCCTGTCATAACGTTAAAAAGTGCAGTCAGATGTACACACAGCAACAAAACAAAACAATTCAAACATATTTCGGCCAAATACTAACTATTTTAATTTGTGGAAAAGGTTTCAAGCACAGATATGGCTACTGATCCTGCTTGGCTAGGCCTAGTGCCCTCGCAAAATTGTTTCGAAATTTATATCTCCAAAGGTGCCAAAACTTATAAAACGTCACAGTTAGACACTGATTTTAAGTATATTAGACTGTTCATTTAATAATGATAGCAATTATCCCTGTAGTTTATCCAGATTCCCGAAGGTTAATTCTGACTTGATCACCGAATGACAAGGGCGACGCCATGTTTGTTTATCAACACTGAAAGTAGTCCCTACTTGACCTTTGATATTTGCATCTCTATCCACATATGACCCCAACGGATATAATTTTTATCCATTGGCTTTATCCTGCCGAGAAACCTTCCCATTATATGATAAAGCCAAATACCTGACACACTAACCATTTAAAGTTGGCAGTGTCAAATATGGTGCAATGGAAGAAAATATTTACATTTTCACTATTAATTAGTACCGGTATTTTATTAATATATTTGAGGTATTAATTGATGCTTTTTACTTTGTGTGCGATTGTGATCAATACGTTATCGAGAAGTAAAAAGTCGTTATCCACCGATGCAGGGATCATAAATATTTTTTATAAAATTGTGTGTCTTCAATACAAGAAATTATCTCCCGAAATATTCATGATCCCTAACTAATTTTTTTCAGTATATGTGTGAATACAATCATTGCACAGGCATGATCTATTTCCACAGGCGGAGTCGACTGTGGTGGCAATCACAGGCTTCTGGTGGATGGCCCGCAAGGCCCCGATATCTCCACGGGCCCGCACAGCCCTCAACTGTCTCCTCGCAATGGCATTCGTCCAGGTAGCTATGTCCCCTCCATCACAATATGAACTTGCTGTTCCCTTCTACTATTATGAATGAGACCAGTCCATTATTTAAGAAAAAGGAGGCAGTTTTCTGAGGTGTTACAATAATGCATGTGGTCAGCCAAACAAGTGGTTGATAGCATGAGCAATGATTCCCAAGGTCATGACACACAATCAGCTGTGTCATGCATTGAACAGTAGTGTTTCAAATGACTCCATGCTTGTTGTCTACAGGCCAGGGATGTTTCAGGGGGACCAGCCATTATTCAGGCCTCTTCTCCCTTGTCTTGAAAAGCTCTGTGGGAATTCTGGGTTAGCTTAGGTTCCAAGTTGCCAATGCTTGTCGTAAGAGTTAACAAAATTGACCGGGTGGTCATCGTACTCCGACAGGCATTGCTCATGATAATTACCGATCAGTCTGGTCCAGACTTGATTACAGGCAGTATTTGAAATAATTTTAAAACCCAACAAGACAGTCGGGAAGGTGACTCAACATGTTGCCTGCTCATCTTCTAAATTACCTGGCAACATTCAGACATTATAAATAGTGAAAAATCGCAAAAACTAAGAGAAATTACATCTTGATTCAGTTAAAATATTGCAAACAATTTCCTGAGATTCTACAAGGAGTTATAATAAAACTGAATGCGTAAGTAGTCTTGAAATTATTTGTCAGACAGTCAGGCAGGTGGAGGAAAATTTCATGCAGCCCGACAGAAAAGTTACCTGCCACGGGCTGGCGGGCAGGCAGTTAATTCGGACACGGTTTACAGGCCGTTATCATGTAATTGGAATAAGGCTGTGTTTGGCATTGAGTAACAACCAAACCAAAGTTAGATTTAGATACATCCAGAGCACCTTCTACTGTTTGCTTGTAATACATTCAGAGTGTCTTCCATTTTTGGCTTATAATTGTTAAACATGATAATTAGCATGTTCTATTTTTGGCTGATAATACATAGAGAGTGCCTTCCATGGTTGACAGTAGTATGTTTATCGTGTCTTCCATATACTGTGACACCTTGGGTATCCCAACCTTGAGGGTGGTGGGGTAGCCCAGAGGTTAAAGCGTTTGCTCGTCACGCCGAAAGCCCAGGTTTGACTCCCGGCATGGGTACAATGCGTGAAGCCCATTTCTGGTGTCCCCTGCCCTGATATTGCTGGAATAAAAGCAGCAGAAAAATGTACTCACTCCCTCCTGCCTGGGTATCTTCACCCTATTGCTGTAGTGTGTATTTACCATGAGGAAGAGAATTTATGGATGTCAACTTTATGATGCACACTGACTGCTGTTGTGTATATTTACCATCCACTGATACAGACTGATTGCTGTTGTGTATATTTACCATCCACTGACACAGACTGATTGCTGTTGTGTATATTTACCATCCACTGATGCAGACTGACTGCTGGAGTGTATATTTACCATCCACTGATACAGACTGACTGCTGTAGTGTATATTTACCATCCACTGATACAGACTGACTGCTGTAGTGTATATTTACCATCCACTGACACAGACTGACTGCTGTTGTGTATATTTACCATCCACTGACACAGACTGACTGCTGTTGTGTATTGTGTATTTACCATCCACTGACACAGACTGACTGCTGTAGTGTATATTTACCATCCACTGACACAGACTGATTGCTGTTGTGTATATTTACCATCCACCGACACAGACTGATTGCTGTTGTGTATATTTACCATCCACTGACACAGACTGACTGCTGTTGTGTATATTTACCATCCACACAGACTGACTGCTGAGGTGTATATTTACCATCCACTGATACAGACTGACTGCTGTTGTGTATATTTACCATCCACTGATACAGACTGACTGCTGTTGTGTATATTTACCATCCACTGACACAGACTGATTGCTGTTGTGTATATTTACCATCCACTGACACAGACTGATTGCTGTTGTGTATATTTACCATCCACTGACACAGACTGATTGCTGTTGTGTATATTTACCATCCACCGACACAGACTGACTGCTGTTGTGTATATTTACCACTGACACAGACTGACTGCTGTTGTGTATATTTACCATCCACTGACACAGACTGATTGCTGTTGTATATATTTACCATCCACTGACACAGACTGACTGCTGTTGTGTATATTTACCATCCACACAGACTGACTGCTGTAGTGTATATTTACCATCCACTGACACAGACTGACTGCTGTTGTGTATATTTACCATCCACTGATACAGACTGACTGCTGTTGTGTATATTTACCATCCACTGACACAGACTGACTGCTGGAGTGTATATTTACCATCCACTGACACAGACTGATTGCTGTTGTGTATATTTACCATCCACTGATGCAGACTGATTGCTGTTGTGTATATTTACCATCCACTGATACAGACTGATTGCTGTTGTGTATATTTACCATCCACTGACACAGACTGACTGCTGTTGTGTATATTTACCATCCACACAGACTGACTGCTGGAGTGTATATTTACCATCCACTGATGCAGACTGACTGCTGGAGTGTATATTTACCATCCACTGACACAGACTGACTGCTGTAGTGTATATTTACCATCCACTGACACAGACTGACTGCTCGAGTGTATATTTACCATCCACTGACACAGACTGACTGCTGTTGTGTATATTTACCATCCACACAGACTGACTGCTGTTGTGTATATTTACCATCCACTGACACAGACTGATTGCTGTTGTGTATATTTACCATCCACTGACACAGACTGATTGCTGTTGTGTATATTTACCATCCACTGACACAGACTGACTGCTGTTGTGTATATTTACCATCCACACAGACTGACTGCTGTAGTGTATATTTACCATCCACTGATGCAGACTGACTGCTGGAGTGTATATTTACCATCCACACAGACTGACTGCTGTTGTGTATATTTACCATCCACTGACACAGACTGATTGCTGTTGTGTATATTTACCATCCACTGACACAGACTGACTGCTGTTGTGTATATTTACCATCCACACAGACTGACTGCTGTAGTGTATATTTACCATCCACTGACACAGACTGACTGCTGTTGTGTATATTTACCATCCACTGATACAGACTGACTGCTGTTGTGTATATTTACCATCCACTGACACAGACTGACTGCTGGAGTGTATATTTACCATCCACTGACACAGACTGATTGCTGTTGTGTATATTTACCATCCACTGATGCAGACTGACTGCAGTAGTGTATATTTACCATCCACTGACACAGACTGACTGCTGGAGTGTATATTCACCATCCACTGACACAGACTGACTGCTGGAGTGTATATTCACCATCCACTGACACAGACTGACTGCTGGAGTGTATATTTACCATCCACTGACACAGACTGACTACTGTAGTGTATATTTACCATCCACACAGATTGACTACTGTAGTGTATATTTACCATCCACTGACACAGACTGACTGCTGTAGTGTATATTTACCATCCACACAGACTGACTGCTGTAGTGTATATTTACCATCCACTGACACAGACTGACTGCTGTAGTGTATATTCACCATCCACTGATACAGACTGACTGCTGTAGTGTATATTCACCATCCACTGATACAGACTGACTGCTGTAGTGTATATTCACCATCCACTGATACAGACTGACTGCTGTTGTGTATATTCACCATCCACTGACACAGACTGACTGCTGTAGTGTATTGTGTATTTACCATCCACTGACACAGACTGACTGCTGTTGTGTATATTTACCATCCACACAGACTGACTGCTGTAGTGTATATTTACCATCCACTGACACAGACTGACTGCTGTTGTGTATATTTACCATCCACTGACACAGACTGACTGCTGGAGTGTATATTTACCATCCACTGACACAGACTGACTGCCTTGGATCTGTTTCAGGCCACCCTGGGTATCTCCACCCTGCTGCTGTACGTCCCCACCCATCTCGCCGCCACCCACCAGTCTGGCTCGGTCGCTCTACTCAGCTTCGCTACTTGGCTGGCCCATGAGATCAAGAGGATGCCCAAATAACTGGCGTTACCTGAACAAAAGACTGTTTGTCCTTCAAAGTTGCGTTCACATCACATCCCATCCCTTGCCATGTTGTCATTGCAAGCTTCATACTTATTTAACCTTTGAAAATGGAGCTGATAAATGTTGTAAATGTAACAATATCTGACCCTTAATATGTTGTTTTTATTATTCAAACAGCCATACCTTTTTGCATCCCAAAGAACTCAAAATATATATTATTTGCTTCATTCTCAATTTGTATGCATTTAGGATGCAATAAGTAAGAACCCTGTGCTACATCAGAGATGTATCTGGACCTGATCAGAGGCCAGTGTTAGGCCCCTGATCTGAAGCAAATCTGTAGCAAATGTCCGTGCAAATTTGCCAAATGGTGTAGGCCCTCACTAGTCATCATATAAGTGCAGCAGTATCACAAGGTACATGGGGTTTTATGCGTCCTGTGTTTGGTTTTATTGAACTAAAAGGGGAAGTGTACACGCAAAAATCACTTTCTTTCTTTTTTTTCTAAACAAAACGCAATTTTAGAATTAGTTAGTATCTGTGTTTGAAAATATAAACTCATTTTTTTCACAGTGAAAGTAGGAAGCTCACAATAGTGTGAAAATGCTATGTCGTTATGAGGCCTTCGTTTTTCGAGCTAAACAGGCCTGAGTTATCCCCCTTAGATTATGACGTAATTGGTGCCAATTCAACTGGGTCCCTGTCCTTTTCTCAACGCAAAAGATATCCAATACTGGTTTGCGGTAAAACAACATGGCCTATGACACACTCAGGCGCAGTGGTGACTCAGCATAACACTATGCTGGCTGGCATCTGAGATGCTAGAATCACACACCTGTACCTACACCACGTGAAGCGGCTCTATAACAAAGCATGATGACGTCATAATGTTTATCAATTGGCACCAATGACGTCATATTGCAAGGGGCATAAGCCATGGTGTTTTTTGTTCTGGAAATAGAACACTTGGTAAATGTGAAAAATATAAATCGGTTTAATACAAAAAATATGTTAATTAATTGGGATATTTTTATATTTTTGTCTATGACACTACTAGGTTAACACTTTTAATGTGGAAAAAGTACAAGAAAAATAGGTTCATTTCCGTGTGAACTTGCCCTTTAACCAGGGACGCATAAAACCTGTGTACCCTGAGTGCTATGTCATGTGACTTTTGTTGACTCGGGGAAAAAATGTGCGGCATTTTGCTTGGAAGTGGGGAAAAAGGGATTTATTCTCCCTCTCTAAATCCAGATGCAGCCTGTCTTGTACATAGTATAGGGTATTTAGACTCCCGCTGAGAAATCTATTTAGTATTTTGTCAAGAATCATGTGGACCACAAAGATCTAATCATTCTGACATTGAGGTTTGATAACCAATGTTATGGCTTTCTAAACATGACATATTTCACTGGTAACAGGACCAAAAAAGAGGACTTTTGTGCTTAGTTTAACACCTTTGCATTGAATGCAATATTAAAATACCTCATAATTGTGAAAATAAGAAAATCCCAATTTTGAAAAAAATAAATAAGAATTTCCAGTTGCCTGCCAAGTGCACTTTGTTTGGAATAGTAAATACATCCCCATACTTATACTAAGACTATAACTCATATATTGGTGTAATGTAAGCAAGTGCTACATATTAGCGTAACTGTGCCAGGTGAGCTACATCCTCCTCAGGTGTATATTGGAAGGGGGGAGGGGGGTGGAGGCATCACGATAAGGCACAACAATTCTCAATGTGTATGTGTGTCTGTATTTGATGTTGGACTAGGGCTTTGAGAGGGACAAGATATGTTTATCATACAGGGGATGTAGGTTTGGGCTCCGTCTGTCTGTCTGTCCATTGGCTGCAAGGACCCATACATGATTTAGGGTTATGTATGTTGATCAAGTTCGAAAACCTTTTTTCCCAAATGATATTCGACAAAGTCATGGCCCTTGTTTGCTACTTTTGCACATGGTACACATGACCTGCAGTGGGGTACATTGTCAAGGAAACCGCAACATATCTCTATGGGTACAAGCAGAACATTTTACATACATCATTAGGGATATATATATGTTGATGGAGTTTGAAACCCAGCATTTTGGTATTTTTGCTTCATTATGTACCAAACCTATCATTATTTCTCTTTGAATCTTGGTAAATATATAGACTAGACAGGACTGGTGCCTGTTGTTTTCACAGTTGTTTTCACAGAAGGTACACACACACAAACACACACACACACACACACACACACACACACACACACACACACACACACACACACACACACACACACACACACACACACACACACACACACACACACACACACACACACACACACACACACACACGATGCACGGACACACACATGACACATGCACACACACATACTGACATACGTTTTGGTTTGTAGAATATCAATAAGATCTTGCAGTTATATGTAACATGCAAAATATAACCTACAAACTAGGTACTTCAATGGATGAGTCAAGTTCCAAAGATCAAAGCAATATCCTGATGTATACGCTGAAGAGTCATGTTTCTGTAACAGAGGACTGTAAGTAGAAAACTAGAGGTCCATCATGTGGCATTGCAACACTGACTTACGGTCTTATGTGACCGGATGTGTACATCGTATGAATGAATGCTGCCTTTGTTATGCTGTTGTGCTTACATTAAATTCTACTATTTGGAATTTTAGCCTTGTCTGTTGTCAGTCATAATGGTGCTTCCAGAAACACTGTCAATCATAATCCTGCTTCAAGACACACTGTCAACCATAGTGGTGCTTCCAGAAACACTGTCAATCATAGTGGTGCTTCCAGACACACTGTCAATCATAGTGGTGCTTCCAGACACACTGTCAATCATAATCCTGCTTCAAGACACACTGTCAACCATAGTGGTGCTTCCAGAAACACTGTCAATCATAGTGGTGCCTCCAGACACACTGTCAATCATAGTGGTGCTTCCAGACACACTGTCAATCATAATCCTGCTTCAAGACACACTGTCAACCATAGTGGTGCTTCCAGAAACACTGTCAATCATAGTGGTGCTTCCAGACACACTGTCAATCATAATCCTGCTTCAAGACACACTGTCAATCATAGTGGTCCTTCCAGACACACTGTCAATCATAGTGGTGCTTCCAGACACACTGTCAATCATAGTGGTGCTTCCAGACACACTGTCAATCATAATGGTGCTTCCAGACACACTGTCAATCATAATGGTGCTTCCAGACACACTGTCAATCATAATGGTGCTTCCAGAAACACTGTCAATCATAGTGGTGCTTCCAGAAACACAGTCAATCATAATCCTGCTTCCAGACACACTGTCAATCATAATCCTGCTTCAAGACACACTGTCAATCATAGTGGTGCTTCCAGACACACTGTCAATCATAGTGGTGCTTCCAGACACACTGTCAATCATAGTGGTGCTTCCAGACACACTGTCAATCATAATGGTGCTTCCAGACACACTGTCAATCATAATGGTGCTTCCAGAAACACTGTCAATCATAGTGGTGCTTCCAGAAACACAGTCAATCATAATCCTGCTTCAAGACACACTGTCAATCATAGTGGTGCTTCCAGAAACACTGTCAATCATAATCCTGCTTCAAGACACACTGTCAATCATAGTGGTGCTTCCAGACACACTGTCAATCATAATCCTGCTTCCAGACACACTGTCAATCATAGTGGTGCTTCCAGACACACTGTCAATCATAATCCTGCTTCAAGACACACTGTCAATCATAGTGGTGCTTCCAGAAACACTGTCAATCATAATCCTGCTTCAAGACACACTGTCAATCATAGTGGTGCTTCCAGACACACTGTCAATCATAATCCTGCTTCCAGTCTAGAAATATCGAATATATTCTTGAAACTGTCAGTCGTAATGGTTCTTCCAGGCACAGACTCTCAACCATAATAGTCGGGGTTTTTTAAGACTTCTTTTATCTTTTTAACAATGCTATTAAGTAAGGATGCATTACATGTTTGGGATCAATTTTGATTGTAATGAATAGGAGTGTTGTATTCGGGGCTGTTCACGTGTGGCCTGAAAGACTTGTTAGATGAGTCAGTGAGTTTGGTTTTACGCCGCTTTTATCAATATCCAGCAACTTCACGACCGGGGACAATAAATGGGCTTCACACATTGTACTCATGTGGGGAATCGAATCCGGGGCTTCGGCTTGATGAGCGAACACTTTGACCACAAGGCTACCCGATCGCAGCACTAGGTAGATGGGTCATCGCTTGGCGCCATCATGTATTACAGTGATATGAATGCACGTACACGTCGGTCACGACCGGGTGGCCTACATAGATATACTGAACAAACAAAGTAAAGGATCATAAAAATTTTGTGAGATATTTTTATTAAATTGTTTGCTCTGTCTTCGCTACACTTCACTGGAAGTATGTGATTTATGTGGCAATCTCCCACACACAACATTGTGACAGTCATTAAGCACGTGACCTCGGACAGCACGTGCAAAATGGGGTATGCTTGATTTACCACTGTCACCCAGACTCGGTTGTGCGCAGGCGCATATTGTTTTCTTGGAACCAAACGCCCAAAGACACTTTATTTAACACATTTACATCAAATAAGGATAAGATATATGATGAACAATTTCTTTATTACAATAAGAAGCGGCGTTTTGATGTAGGCTCTAACACCATTATCAAGCAAGTGATTACAGCCTTCACCGAACCGTCGCTCCTAATTGTGATAAAGATGTTGTTCATCCATATACCTTGTCCTTACTTAGTATTCAAAGAAGAAGACATTTAATCACTGTCTAAGCAACATCATAGATCATGCGACGTTGGCAACGTGTTGAACGTTTACGTGCCATAGGCTTGTTTGCAGGTGGGCACACGTCAGAATATTTCTGCCCAAGCGCTGCATACTGTATTTCTCAATCTGTCATCGGCAGATTGTGGGCTCTATACAACAAACACATAGCGTCGATGATCGACGCCGCTCTGGACGCCCAAGGGCAACAACTCCAGCCCAGGACAGATTAGTCGTAGCGATGGTTAAAAAATCGGTTGCAAACTGCCACTCATCTAAAGAACCGACGTACAGCATGGTCTTCTTGTGAGAATGAGTGAGTGAGTGAGTGAGAGTTGGGGTTAAAGCCGCTTTCATCTGTATTCCAGCGTGTGAGCTTAATGTGGGAGGAAAACTCGAAGTAATGCAGGTCTCAGACGTTTACCACTTCGGTACACACACGAGCACGGGTATGGTGCTGATAACCTAGAAACATAATTGGGGCGAACCGGGATTCGAACCCACAATCATAGGTTTCTGGCGTACCCAAAGGGACGGAACTTTGCACAGTCAATTGCGGCGTCTTTGACGACTGGGCCAACTGTGTCTCCTGGTCATCTTGGGAGTGGATCCATAAATGGTATAGGATTGTATCACAATGACTGGCCGAAGTGCCTCAATATTGTCCATGGCAGAGTCACGGGTCAATACTCCCGGGACAGCATCATTGCACAACGTTTCATCGTGTTCACCGTGCCAGGATTGTGACCCAATTCCCCAAACGGCAAA